ATACAGCCTTTGCTTCCCCAGATTGAGAAGTCACAGCTGCGATGGCTTGGGCATGTGTTGCGACTGCCAACAGAAAGGAAGGCTAAGCTACTGTTCCTTGCAAATCCCACCGGCAGAAGGTCCAGGGGACGGCGAGAATTAACCTGGTGCAAACATATGGAAGGAGTCTGTTCCAGACTGCATTTGTCTTTTGCCGAGGCTCAGACTCTGGCACAGGATCGGGAACGTTGGAAGAACTGTCTGACGCGTCTGCCTCCGCGACCCGAAAGGAGAAGCGGCGATGGAAGATAAAGATGACGATAACGCGATGATGAAGTGGTGAGACTTGTCGTGGTAATCCTACGGAATTCCACGGACGATGGTGCAAAGCGTCCTGTCATAGCAGTTCTACACTATCGACCATTCATAAATTCTTCCGTGACAATGGACATCGGTGAGTGATGTTGTTCATCGAGGGAAAGATGGGAACTTTTATGACCAATTTGCGTCATCCATCAACCGTGCCAAACCTGCTAGCTTTTATTGTGGCAGTGGCCGTCCGTTGTATCAACTTTTAACACGGCGTGCTATACAATGCTCACAAATATTCCAAAGGATAAATAAGCAAAGAAGATAGATATTAAACTAACAAAGGTAGTACGATGAAAATTGGATATGGCTGAAAATGAAGTAATAAATTAGGCTGACCAGACAAAGTAAAAGCAAGTGATTTGAATTATTCGACATCAAACTTTCTCATAAAATAAAAAAGAATCCTTCCGGTTTAATTCAAAATTATCATTAGCACAATCGACAGATGAAATGTAACACAACTCAGACCTAAAACATTTAGCTGTAAAACTGCTAACTGAAAAGCCACTCATCTCTCATAATGATCAACGAGTACATGCAGCACCAATCCAACGATCAGCATAGCGTCATTTGAAGGATAAAACAATTTAGTAAAATTTTGTTGTGTAATCTCTGTAGCTCTTTTAATGAAACTGCTTCGACTGCACTCATGAGGTTATACTCAACTTTTATTTGGCTCATAACATTTAACGTTTCGGTAATTTTATCAGAATATTTGAAATGTCGCAGACCACAGAGTGGGACAATCTCCTTCCTGAAATAAAAAATATTATCTGGTTACATATTCTCTGCACTCCAATACGATTCCGGCAAAAACAATGATCCCGAAAAGTGACTTCCTCCTCGATTTGATGAAAATTATTACGGCTGGAGATTGCATACAACGAAATCCGTCATGCAACCTTGAAATAAATCTAGCATGTGAAAAACAACGTGTAAGCAAAAGATTTACATGACCTGATAGCTGCTGATGTTGCAAATAATTATTATCTTTATCAGTTGAAGTTCGAGCATGTTCTCGCTAGGGATTAATACGGATAATGATTCATAAACGATGAGTCCATAAAAGTAGCCAGTCCTTCAGACAGATTTGTCATAAATAGAGATGTCATCACCCGTCACCAGGGCCGAATTATATGACCATTTGCATGTCTGAGAGCTGTGCAGATAAAATGCAGACTATGGGAGTACGCTCTGTACTTATCGTTCATTCTCTTCCCTATATAATGTGGTTTTAAAGCTACGTTGCCTAACATTAAAAGCAGAAAGCAAGTAAATTTACTTTCCACGAACATTATAAATCCAGCAGAGTGATGGCAGCATGCTACTCGGTTCTTTCACAAAGAGAGTAACAACTTTTTCGAAGTACTGATGTAGCGTAATCCAGGGCGCTAAAACAAAAGCATATAGAATGCGTTACTTACGAGACACAGCCAATGTTAACAACGCGCATTAGGTCGTTCAAAAAATTCATCTGTCCACATGCAAATCGATAATTTGAATGAATGACTTGACAAAAGTAAGAAGGGAATATGCTACATGGATATGGTTCTGCCAGACAGGAACTAGCGCGGCTGGACTGAAAGATCATGAACAGAACCTACATTATCACAGGAGGTTCTCTGTCGCTCAGGAAAAACATTGCAGAAGGCCAGCCACTAGGCAATTTACAAACTTATAAC